TAGATTGTTGATCATTAAAGGGTCTTGAGCTGCATGTATTTGAAAAAAGGACTTGAGCTATATGTTTCTCAAAATATAAAGGACTTGAGCTATATCTCATCCTGGGATATGATAATCGAAAGGTGTTGAGATATATGTTTTTTTCAGATAAAAAGGACCTGAGCTGTATGTTCTAATAATATAAAGGACTTAGGCTATATGATCTAATAATAAAAGGTCGTGAGCCATGTGTTTCTCCTAATAAAAAAAGGAGTTGAGCTATATGTTTCTCAAAATATAAAGGACTTGAGCTATTTGATTTTATGATTTTAATGAAAAACAAGGACTATAGCTACATTTTTATAAGAATTGAAAGGTCTTTAGCTATATGTTTTAAATATAAAAAGGACTTCAGCTATAAGTTTTTCCTAGATCTTGCTACAGACGGTTTCCCAGTTAGACTTCAGCCTGTAGTTTTTGGTCCAAGCTTTACTCAGTGACTGGCCTGATGTAAAGTGTAGTAATCCAGTGTTATGCTACAGGTGATTAGTCTGTACACATATAAAACAGCTAGTTCGTTCAGAGTTGTTCACTGTTATAGAGTTAAATGAAAGCTGTTGTTTGTTTTAATTTTATTTTCCTCTTGTAAAAATTAAAACTTATGTTAGAAGTAACTTTCTTTAGTGAAAATTTAAACTTAATTAACTTAATTCACCTCTTTGAAAACTGAAAATGAAGAAACGAAGGCTTTTAAATATTAATAAATGTAAAACAGCCTAATTGATTTTGTACATCGTTCTCTAGTAAAATTTAAACTTGATAAACTTTCTTAGTAAAATTCAAAATGCTTTTTTATCCATAAATAAGTACATGCGTCAAAATAGTAAGTCACGGCGACGTAAAAGAACTTTTTTATCGGCGTATTTACACAAACAGTAAATTGAAAAAAAAAATCTCTGTCATTTATATTTTGAGCTAGGTAAACTGTGACACAGCAGAGGAAAGGACTGACAGATGGGGAGCACTGATATCCACTTCTCTATATAGAACCGAACAGAGGATGCCTGGGATAAGATAACGGTATAAAAAGATTTTCATAAACATGTTAATGGGGAAAAAGATCTCATCGGACTTTACAAAGGGTTGAATATATTTGAGAAAATTACCCTTACTAGAAATTCAAGGCGCTTCGCGCCCTTCTTTCTAGCCTTAGAGGGCGCTTCGCGCCCATCTTCTAAATTAGTTGTGAACATGTTCTCTTTGTGTACATCGTAAAACAAAACAAAAATAATTCGCGGATTTTTTACAAAAAATTTCGCGGATTTTCAAAATTTTTAAAAATTAAATGACGATCGAATTTTGATAGAGACAAATATTTGAAATTTTGATTTTTCATAAACCTTCCCTGGGGTCCCTAGATGTCCCACAAAAAATTTGGGCCCGATCGGTTCAGCCGTTTTGACGTTTATTGGATACAAACAAACAAACAAACAGACAAACACCCAAACAGACAAGCCAAATTTATATATAAATTTTTTGTAAGTTATTTTGATTTAGAATTTTTAACAAATAAGATCATTTTACACTATAGAGTCTAGAAATATTTACCCGGCCCTACATCCAAAACTGTCTTTCAATTCTCCATTTAATCAACCTCCCACTGTAAAATGTAAATTTATCTACTATGTTAGATTTGTCCAAATGAACCCAAAACGATGAGCTCATTCAAAGGCAATCTTCAATCTTAAACTTATGAAACATAAAAACAAGATATAATGGCAAAATCATTTTTCAATTTTTTAATGCGAAAATAAGAGGAAGAAAAGTTTAAAAATTATTTTTTAAAACTGACAAACATATACTTAGGATGCGGAACCTGTGTACGGAGAAAGCAGAAGACGCGACGTGAGCAACATCAGTCATGCTATAGAAGATTATGAGGATCTATAATACAGTTTAACCCATGGGAAGACATCGAAAGAAATTATAAAATGTCTAAACCTACTGACAATGGAATGCAGTAAGATAATTAGTTGTTCAATTGAATATTTATATGGAGTTATTTAAAACCTTAAAAAATTAGTTCATGGCTAATTATATATTTTTACAATTACTGAGATTTAGGTGTAAAAGTATATAAATTGTCAAGACGACATTCTTCAGATTCTTTCGGCATCTCCGAAGTTCTGGTTACACTGAGGAGAAATCTTTTTATTTCATTATCTCTCATTTATAAATGATGTCAACCATAAAATAATGGTAAAAGATTCGTTTAATTTACAATTACCATTAATTCCTTGCTCCTACAATGGATAGACAAGCCGATCCGTAAATGCAGTTCCTTGTAAAGAGTATAAAATTAACCAACAACGCGATTTTCAAGTACAAAAAATAAACTGATCAATGCCAGCTTTACGAAAAAAACTTTCTCCTTTTTTCTCTTTCTATTTTATTTTCTCCTCCAATAATATTGAATTTCCTTTTTTATACTAAAAACATGTCAAGCATAATTAGAAATGAATTCTTATGTCTGGACAAAATAATTTCTTCCATCATATTGTAATAATATATGTAAAACTCGTAAATAATTGTAAAGCACTGATTGGTGAAATTAGTTTATCAGCATGTATGCTACCAAAAACTCTGCAAAAATAAATATTTATATCTTGTAAAAAATATATTATACAGAGGAAAGATTGCAGTCGAAATAATAATTTTTATTCACCTTGTAAATAGATACACGTTTTAGAATTAATTTAACAACTTTATAAAAAGAAGAACTAGTAACGGATAGGTCGAGATCTGAAAACTTTAGTATTGTGGATATTGAGATCAATGCTTGATCTTTACTCTTCTTATTAATCTTAAGATTTATTTAATCTTTAGTTCTTATGCAGAAAAGTGTATAAAATTCAACCAATAGAGTAATGTACAGAATTTCGAAATAGTTTTCATTTTGTCATTCAAGTTTATTCTTAAATTGTTCAACAAAAAATGAGAAAGTTTGTTGAATTTAAATTTTGTCTAATTAATGCATCTAACTTTTTGCCTATTTACTATGGAAGGATTAGACAGAGCAAAATATGTGAAAAAAAACCGGCATTACATTCCAAACTGAAACTGGACATTTCCAAACTCCAATAGTTCTCTTTAAAATTTTGTATTAAATTGCATTTTCCCATTCAGGTGCGGATACAGGAGGGGGCTATATGGTCGAAGACGCCCCTCCCATTTAGATTTAGCAAGGTTGAGTTCTTGAATGTTTTATTAACTTAGTTACGGGATTCATTACGGATGATGATCTTGTAGATGTGGCGCCGTGACAAACTCCTGAAAGACAAACTCCGGAAAGACAAACTCCTGAAAAGACAAACTCCTGAAAGACAAACTCCTGACGAGACAAACTCCTGAAAATAAAAAATTCTGAAATACAAACTACATAATATCAAATTTAAAAAAATTTATATTTAATCTAGCCGCAGCGCTCGGCCCAGAAAGTGTCAATACTTAACCTAACCCATGGCCGCAGCGCTCGGCCCTCTAGCCTGTCCTAGCCGCAGCGCTCGGTCCAGAAAGTGTCTTAACTAACCTAACCCATGGCCGCAGCGCTCGGCCCACTAGCCTGTCCTAGCCGCAGCGCTCGGCCCAGAAAGTGTCTCAACCTAACCTAACCCTAAATAATAAAAAATAAATAATAATAAATTTGCTGGTTATTCTGATCATTGTAATACTTTGCTGCTAGAAGCATATTCAAATTACTAAAGATTGAGAATTTTTCTAGAATATTTGCGGATTTTTCTTCTAAAGTTTATGAATTTTATCAAATTTCATTCAGAGAAAAATTTCATAATTTCAGGAGTTTGTCTTTCAGGAGTTTGTCTCGTCAGGAGTTTGTCTCGTCAGGAGTTTGTCTTTCAGGAGTTTGTCTTTCCGGAGTTTGTCTTTCCGGAGTTTGTCTTTCAGGAGTTTGTCTTTCCGGAGTTTGTCTTTCCGGAGTTTGTCTTTCAGGAGTTTGTCTTTCAGGAGTTTGTCACGGCACCGTAGATGTAATGAAGTACTTCAATAAATGTGGAACTAACATCTACTTTTTTACTCTACAGAGGTTTGGTCCATCACCATCACTGAATTTTAGAATTACTTGATGCTGAATTTCCCCATATCTAAACTCTTTTTTCACTTAAACGTAGCATGTTGGAGACTTTATCTTCTCTGTAATGCGTGTTCCTGACTCCTACCTTGGAGGCCAGCCTTTCTCTAGGACGTATTATTACTCCTCCCCTTTCTTGTTGATACTATATTACCTTATCTCTGACATGGTTTAAGTTTTCTGGACCCTAACTATAACAGAGGTCATAAATCAAAATTTTCGTAAATAAGTATTGTACAATCCCGCCCCCCCTCTCCACCCCCGGGAATACACAAACTAACATCTTCAAACCTTGTAATACCTAATTTCAAAAGCCATAATATTATTATGTTTATTATATGAAAAAGGCAAACACTGTAAATATCTGTCTCCGCAAGATGAACAGTGAAGACAGACAATTTTACTCTGTTTGTATACTGTAATTTTCTTGTTTTACTAAGTACAACCGTATGCAGTCAAAACATAAACAAACAAAATGTGAACATAGCAGACGAAACTATTACAGATTACAGCTTTCTCAGTAGGTATCACTAAATCAAAGAATTGTATAAAAAGACGATATCGAATTCGTCACTGAATTCCCATGTTTATTGTATCAGAGCAGAGAATTCCACAAGTTCTCTTATGACCAATTAATTGCTGCACCTGTAAAACTCATGGTTTTCACAAAATTTTCTCATTTTCGCAAAAAAAAATTCGGGAAATTTTGCTTCGTTTTTGCGAAAAAGTTTGTGAAATGCAACTGAAAAATTTCCCCATTTTTTTACGAAATTTTGTTTGCTGGAAACCCTGTAATCAAACCCCAGGTTTAGGAGCCCACATTGTCTCCTCTCGATTGAAAATCTTGATCATTTTGTTCAATAAAGAGAGATCGTCGTATTTATTTGACCTAAGTTTTCTATTTATTTTTGGCAAGAACCGCGATCTTAGGAGGTAGGGGAAAGCAAAACTTCTAGGAGAACATTGCTTCCCTTTCTTCATTCTATAAACTGATGCTCTGAATCTTCTCATTTCTTCAATTATATCTTCAGGTTCAGTATCATGCAGTAAGGAGGACGTCTACAATGAATCCTGGTTAGAGTATTCACAGCAGAAAGCATGATGGAGTAATTTAACAGTTCCTCCAGGGATTCCAACACATTCCATGTAAATATTGTCTCCAATATATTCGTTCTCATATGTTTTTCCCTGCCATCCGTTTAATATCTAGGAGGTCATCAACAGTGGATATCTCATACCAGTTCTACAGCTGTGTGGAGTAGCTTTGCATGTAATTTCCCCAGGTGTCATTGTCAGTAATCCTGTACTGCAGGGAACTGCTGTTTGTGTATATGATATATTACTCGAGGTGTAGGTTCAGCAACTGAAGTTGCTTCAGAACAGATTAAACAGTATCTTGGATAATTCTGGTTTTTATCACGTATCAGCTTACAGTCTGGAGTCTGAGCTCCGGGATATTATTAGATTCCTTAGTCTTCCAATTCAGGCTTACATCCTTCATCTGCAGCTCCGCCGGAACTCCAATCTTTAGCTTGTCTGTGTCTGAGTATTGGGGTAAATCATGGTAGAATAATTTGGAGGAAGGGGTGGAGGGGAATCATCACATTGGGTAGGATCATGTTCTTCCTTTTGTTCTCCGCGTACTTCAGCACCTTCTCCTTCACGCTCTCAGCTCGATTCTCCATCTAAGATTACGTAGGTATAGATAATAGAATTGTTGGTTAAGCTTTTATAATAAATCTCAATTACAAATAATCAAGTTACACGTATACAAAAATAGTCTCACTGAAAAGAATTCTGGCTTATGAAAAACAAAAATTAAATTAAAACAAAAGAATAACTCTGCTGCAATTTAATGGATTTTCTCAAACAAAGACGTGTTAAGTTTCCATTCTGTAAATAGCATTATGCAAAAATGATAATCTTGGATTATTACCAAAAGCTCTGAAATTAGCTGCAGTCTCTATTTTGTATTTTAAATAAACCAAGACTTAAAAGCTCGCAAGGCTAGTTCACCTTGCTTACATCTAATAATCCAAATAAAATATTTAACATACAAAATTAGATAATTTTTAGAATAGAATATTTTTTTGTTTCTAATGCCAAAAATAAATTGATTTCTAGAGGGCAGACCTTGAATTCCTGGCCATAGTTCACGATTATTATTAAAAACTATGTATAAAAATTGACTTGTATTGTTACAATCCCAAAATAGATGAATAATTGTTTCAATCTCAGAATTGCAAAAAGTACACGACGGCAGAATTCCAGGAACAAATTTTGACACAATTCTGTTTTTTTTAACGTGCCGCGTACTATTTAATTAAAAAAAAATGTTATCCTATTGTCAAAGAAAAGCTGTTACAGCACGCCCAAAAACTTTAACCTTGAATAGAATTTAATTGCATTTCCCAATTCCTTTCTCTATCTTGAATGCTTGCGCTTAAAAATTGTAATTTTTTTTAATCATTGTAGACCAATCCTAACTTCAGTACAAATTGTGAAATTTTGTGACATTTTTCAGAAATTTTACTACAGCAAAAATGCATTATACTTTTCAAATGTCACAAATGGCTTCCTGAAATGGGTTGTTATGATAAAAAATGTAAAAAAAACCACAAATGAAAATTTGAATATTGTTTGATAAAAAAAGTTTTTTTTCTAAAATGAGATATCCTCGTTAACAGGAAAGGAGGTGCGAGTCGTCTTGCCTAGTTTATTTATAACACATTTCACCCTAACCATCCAAATATTTTTCGCCATCTAAACGTCGTTTTCTTCTACTAAAGTGTTTCCAGTATATAGGTACGAATACGATGTCCATACAAGAGGGGTTGCACGATGAAACATTTTGCTCTTAAAAGTAGGCATAATATGGGCTTGGTCTCGTTTTTAAAGATTTTTCAATAAATCAATTTAAAAATCTATAGTGCCGTGTTTTATAAAACAGAATGGATTAAATTAGACATTTTCAATGATAGAAATGAGGATTTTTAAGAGAGATGAAATAGAATGATATTTGAAATTTTTGTTGAAATTCGAGAACATTTTCTAATATTAGGCCTATATTTTTAAAGGTTAAAACGACATTTAAAAAAAAAATTCATTGAAAGGGAAACACATAATACAGTAAAACGACGTTTAGATGACAAAGAGAAATCTTGTACGCTTCTAAGTAATTGTACAAAGATGATTTTTAATCAACACAAAGTTCGACCGATTATTTCAACCCCCTGACCCAATCACTTCTCTCGGATTTGCCATACTATCCCTCGGATCGGTCCCAGGTTCAATCCCCCACCCCCCAAAATGGGGTATCAAGGAGCAATATTAAGTTTACACCATAAACCTTTTATTTAAGTGAAATAAGGCTCGGTTCTGAAATCTTGGAAAACTGATAATTTCCGTGAAAACTCTAAAAATGGGTATTTTAAACACAATTTTGAGACCAAACAAATGCTTGGGTGAAGTTGGGCTTACTCGCGACGCCCCCACATCTTTTAATAACGGTTGTTAGAATCTAGCTATATATCTAGACTATCCTGAATCCGTTGTAATTTTGTGTAAAAAAGCTATAAAGTACTTGTTTTTTTTACCATCTTTGTGTCTTCAATATATTTAACCTTAGATAAATAAATATGGGAATTCAGTGACGAATTCAATATCGTCTTTGTTATGAATTAGCATTGCAATACCTAATTTCAAAAGCAATAATATTATCATGTCTGCTAGAGTTTATTTTATGAAAACGGTAAAAGACTGTAAAGATGTGTCTATAATGTCTCCGCAAGATGAACAGTGAAGACGGACAAGTTTACTCTGTTTGTATACTGCAATTTTCTTGTTTTACTAAGTACAACCGTATGCAGTCAAAACATAAACAAACAAATTGTAAACATAGCAGACGAAACTCTTACAGATTACAGCTTTCTCATTAGGTATCACTATACTAAATCAAAGAATTTTTAAAAAAGACAATATCAAATTCGTCACTGAATTCCCATGTTTTTTGGGACACCCTGTAACCTATTTACAGTATGACCTTTTAATGTATACGCAATATTTTGGGGATTAAAGGATCCATTCAAGGATAGATATATGAACGGGAAAAATAATTTTAAGTTGAAATCATTAAAAATCAATGCAAGCTACAATTGATACAATGTTTGTAAATGAAAAGATTATTAGAATAAATTCATTTGTCATCATGAAGAAACACAAGACAAATGTATTTTAAGAGTATTGTAACAAAAACCACCGGACCCCCTGAAATACCCCGATAGTAGTAAAATAAATATTCAAAAAATTTTGTCCCAAGCTCTTGAACTTGAAGTTAAGAAATGGGACGCTCTGGACAAAAAGTTGTTCCATCCCTAATTCCTTGCTCAATATGGTTTTATGAAAATGAATGCTTGCCCGTATATGCAGTGATGGGTCCAACAATATCAAACCTTATATTTACTACATTCATAGTATCAGACTAGTCGGGGACAGAATAATAGTTGTAGTTTTAAAGGATAGGGTCAGTATTAATCAAAATACTTAAGCTGTTGTTCATTCAAAAAACAAAATACTTCTGGTCAATGTTTGACGTTTACTTTGTAATCTTGGATGACATAATATTCTTGTTCTTGTTATTTTTACTGTTTATCGATTGGTTTTTTTGTGATGTCAGGATTACGGAGAAAATTATTTAAAATATTATTAAACAACTACAATTGATGGCACCCCAAGAGACCTTGATAGCTCACTTGAAACCTTGAAAGTTTCCTTGAAACGTTGATAGCTCTCTTGAAACCTAGTTAGCTCCTCAGGTCCTAGATAGCTTCCTTAAAACCTAGTTAGCTCCTCAGGTCCTTGATAGCTCCCTTGAATTCTAGTTAGCTCCTCAGGTCCTTGATAGCTCCCTTGAAACCTAGTTAGCTCCTCAGGTCCTTGATAGCTCCCTTGAAACCTAGTTAGCTCCACAGGTCCTTGATAGCTCCCTTGAAACCTAGTTAGCTCCTAAGGTCCTTGATAGCTCCCTTGAAACCTAGTTAGCTCCTCAGGTCCTTAATAGCTCCCTTGAAACGTTGATAGCTCCCTTGAAACCTAGATAGTAGATAACTCCCTGGGTCCTTGATAGTTGGAACCCTTTAAAATGCTTTAAGAAACCCTGATAGCTTCATTAATCCCTGATAACCCTCTGGAACCCCAAAACTTCAGCTTAAACCTCTATTGTTCCTGGAAACCCTTATTGCTCCCTGAAACCTTTAAACTTCCCGTTAATCCTATATAAAGATTCAAAGAATCTATATAGCTCCTTGTATTCCTTGACACTGCAACGGTTTATAAATTTCCGAAAGGTTTTGTGATCCGTCCATAAAAGGCTGATGATGTCTGTGTTCTGCATAATTTTGACAGGTTAGAGTTCTGCCCACATGGAGCATCTTAATACACAGAAACCTGAATCATGTCAAATAAACTCCTCAATTAGACAGTTCACATTTGTTTGTATCCAAAATTCACTTTTTACAAATCTGTTGCACGGTTCTGCCTAGAATCTAAGATAAGATGTATGCAGACATTTTTTATCAGCCCCTATGCTTACTATTATGAAAATGGTCGTAAAAAGATATTGATATACTGATCAAAAAATCAAAATCTATTTCTAATTTTTTGATGGTCGATTATAAGATTAAAACATGTGATGCTAGCTTTATGATATTAGTATATAAGTAATGAGAAAACACTAACGAACGCAACCAAACATTTATGTAAATTTTTCCAATTCAAAATTCTCAACGTCAAAAACTATTTCAATAGTTCATTTCATTTATTATTAAAGTATCTCTTAACATCTCTTTTTAAAGAAGAATGTATCCATCCCTGCCTGGTTAAGGGAGGAACCCGGAGAACAGGATTAACCCAAAAGAAAGCTTTATCGTATTCTAACTAATGCAATAAATTAAAAGAATCAATTTAGTGGATTATGGGCGTAGGAACATAACTCCAGAATTTTTTACTTCTTGAACCCAGTACAGGAACTACACGAACTACAGGAACAGGGTTACCCACAAAAGATGAGACTTCAAAGACAACTGTACAACATATATTTAGCCATCCTTTATATATACCAATAAAAGACAGAAAATCTAATTCAACCTTTAGTTCAGTTTAAAAGAGTTAAGGGTCGTCATTGAAGTCGCATCCTCTGGGGGTAAACCTGTACATTGACTCGTTCTAAAAAATCGATTCAGATATTACTGCGTAGCAAAAAATACCAGAAAGAACAAAACAATTCTACAGAAGCAAAATTATTTTGTGTGTTTTAATTTCCCTTTTCAATAATTATCTTCAAATTAAACAACAAAAATAATGTTTTTTTCTATTAGCAACTTTTCTGAGAATATGGCTTTAATATTTCCTGTGCTGTAACTTGTAAGAATTCTAAATTTACCAAATTGGCCTGTGTAAGCAATCTTGAAAGGTCGTCTTGAACATTAACTGAACTTCTATAACAGCCAACGAGGTTATAGTATATAGAGTGATGGTGTACGCTAATCATTTACTAATTGTAAAGGCCATGTACTTCACTTCCTAAGGTCAATTTGTTTATTACAGTACTCGGGTGTGATTTCTGAAAATATTTAAATGGAGAATTTGTTTTCCATGTAACTATAAAATCCACTACTCCTTTACACGTGTGCAGGATTCCATTTTCACAGGAAGACGTACATTTACTGTCTTTTACAGAGCAATATTTCATCGTTAATAAACTGTTCTGAGAACACTGAGTAAAATTTAAGGTACAAAACCTCCCCTTACACTTGTACTCCGAAAGCGTACTGCATATTTGATGTTTGTACTGTATGAATAGGCCATAATCTCTTAATATCCTTTATTAGTAAACTATCCCAAGTGTACACTCAGGATAATAAACGCGGAGAAGTAGCTAAGATCCTGCCCTCCTGCTGAAATACAGTAAATAGATTGGAAATGCTTTTAATGAAAACGATGAAGAAAGATCGGATTAAATTCTATACTGAAATGGGTCACGTGTCCGTCACGCAGCACGGTTAAATCTGTACTTGCAGTGCGCTTGGATGTATGTTTATACAATGGATTTATTCTCTAAAATATATTTAGAAGTATCAAACGATGCATCCTAACAATTAATGATAGATATATGAATAAATTATAACAATTAGTTCTCTTTTACAATTTATTATTCAATCAGAAACGTCTAATGCTACATCAATTTATCAATTATACAATACATTTTGTTTAATCCAGCTTTCTGCAGAGAACTCGGCGCTTTATTATCTTTTTAATACTTAACCTGTTAAACCATCGATTTTGTCAATAAGACGAAAAAAAGCTATAAGTGGACAAAAATAAGTTTATGGTAAATATGAATAAAATGAGAAATGGCCAAAAGTAGTGTTGTTTTAAATCTTTTTTTTTGGTTTTTGATTCGCCGGGAAGCAGTTTAATGTAATTCTTGAGATAAAAAGAAAATTGGTTTATTCCTGAGCTCTAAAGATGAATAAAGTAGAAGAAGAGGTGACACAACAACTACAAAGTATAAATATTTCTTTTAAAAAAAAAAATTTTACTACGTGTGACGTGTACATTCTTAAAGGGACTGTATACGTGATTTTAAGTGACTCTCCATTTGATTGAATACATAATTCACTACGTTACCCTTTAAAGCTTTCTCTGATCGCAAATGTATGAAATATCAATAATTTTCTTTTTGAAAATTTATTATTTTTAATTGTGGTTTCTTAACACAGTGGCTTGTGGAATTTTGCTTCGGAAACCATGTAATAAAAGTGTTAGAACTAAATCCTAAATCTAGAAAAAATAACGATACCTTTACTCACATTATTGATGAGATTATTAATTAACCTTATTAATTAACCTTATTAATTAACCTTATTAATTAACCTTATTAATTAACCTTATTAATTAACCTTATTATCTTTAATTAACCTTATTATCTTCAATCACTACAATTTTCAATCATTTACTCAGATACATCTTTATTGGGTAAGTATGCTCATCTTAAAACACGTGAACAATCCCTTTAAAGAATCAATCACATCCTGTTTGTTTAATCCGATATTTCATATTTAGATAATGTTTAGTCGTGTTTATGAATCTGGAAGATGAATTTAATATTTTCCTAACATGATGTCGATGCATAAACTGTTTAGAAATACTCGGAACTCAACACTCCAGTCCTGGATATAAAGATATGCAATAAATCAGAAATAACAGAAATAAATCATGGCAAACTTCTTAAAGTGAGGGGTTGGGTGAATTGGGTAAACATTTACCTTGAGAGATTATGAACAGATTTTTTACAATCAGGTTCGTTTTGCAGCCTAATTCCCCTTTAAATCATAGTTTTTACTTCGCCAGGGAGGGGAATTTATGTCTGTCCCAAATATAAATGCCATTTATTTTGTGTTAAAATCGTGGGATGAAAAAAAGATAAGTCTGGAGAACTAATATACGGCTTCATATTTGTATTTATAGATAAATAGGAAAAAACTTCCTAAACACTCCTGAAAAATGAGAAGTGTTGGGTGCGAGGAAGTTTAAATTTCCAGACAAAGCTGGGTAGGGTATAAGAGGAAAATGGGAGGTGAGGTATAGGAAATGAGAATGTAGGGAAGTTAACGGTAGGGTATGGTTGGGGTTTAGAGAAGGTGGGGTGTCAGGAGGGGCACTGAGAGGAGGATGAAGGAATATGGGACGAAGGGATTTGAGGGAAAAGGGAGTAAGGTATGGAATTGAAGGTAGATAAATGTATTATACCTGGAAAAAAACGGTATCTGGTTGTATAAATACCTGGAGAGACAGTATCTGGCTGTATATATACCTGGAGAGACGGTATCTGGTTGAATATTACCTGGATAGACAGTATCTGGTTGTATATATACCTGGAGAGACAGTATCTGGTTGAATATTACTGGGTAGACAGTATCTGATTGTATATATGTACCTGGAGAGACGGTATCTGGCTGTATATATACCTGGAGAGATGGTATCTGGTTGAATATTACCTGGATAGACAGTATCTAATTTTATATTTATCTGGAGAGACGGTATCTGGTTGCATAATACCTGGAGAGACGGTATCTGGTTGTATATATATTTTGAGAGAAGGTTACTTGTTGTATATATACCTGGAGAGACGGGATCTGTTTGCATGTTTACCTGGAGATACTGTATCTGGTTGTACATATACCTGGAGAAACGGTATCTGGTTGTATATATACCTGGAGAGACGGTATCTGGTTGTATATTACCTGGAGAGACGATACTTGTTGTATATGCACCTGGAGAGACGGTATCTGGTTGTTTAAATACCTGAAGAGATGGTATGACATTGTATAATACACATATATCTGGAAAGACGGTATATGGTTTCATATTTACCTGGAGAGATGGTATCTCGTTGTACATATACATATATACCTGGAGAGACGGTATCTGGTTGTATATTACCTGGAGAAACGATAATTGGTTGTATACATACCTGGAGAGACGGTTTCTGATTGTATAAATACCTGGAGTAACGGTATCTGGTTGTATATTACGTGGAGAGATGGTATTTGGTTGCATATTACCTGGAGAGATGGTATTTGGTTGTAGGTTATATTCAGGAGGATACCAGAGAAGAACATCATAACAAGGAAGAGAAACGAAAGACGAGCAGAGATTATATTCCGATTCTGTTTCTTTCTTGGACCGCCTGAATTTTAAACATTGTTGGAAAATAAACTCATAGTAATTTCATGCTATGCATGACCCATTTAATTAATAAAAAACTACGCAGAAATAGAGGGTTTGATTTCATAATTATACAACCTTAGGGACATTAAACACCTTGACAGTTTTTACCTAGTATGTTTCTAACTCCCTCACAGCTTGCATTACTGATTGTACTAAGACGAGGACGTAGAGAGGAATGAAGGTTTTTAAGAAGAGGTCGCATCCTCAGTGGAGGATTATTGCAGTCACCAGTACTATACAGAGTTTGATTGTATTTTATAGTTCACTTTTATAAAATTTATTTTGGAAACACAAAGGAATTGAGTTTTTGCCACTAGTTCTGATTTTCAAATTTCTATATCTTTGCAATCCAACATTGTAGATCTCAGATATTTCAAACTATGAATTCTTTTAGATCCCATTTTAAATATCACTGGATTACAGCATAAGGTTGCAAAGTTATTAGAATATTTGAGTTTTTGTGGAAAAACTCAACTTCTTTGCAATACAGAAATGAACAAACGCTGTAATACTTAGTGTGAATTTCGGCCCAAAATAGAGTAAAAATACCTTTTTATCTTTTGCAAAAAATAAGAATAAATTAAATTATTGATAAAATATATTTTCCTAAGATATCTTCGAAATCTAGGAGAAGGAGGGTTTGAGGTGTCGGAGTCCTGGTTTTGAAGCCGGGAGTCAATACTTTCCTCTGAACCTCTAGGAGAATACGAACCTAAACCTGCCTGGAAGGATCGTCGGATAAACTGTGGAGTACGAGCAGCGACTTGTTTCAAAGCAGATTTCACACTGAAATCATGAGGAAAATTTGTTTCCTCCGTGCTTGATGGTAGTTTTAGTGATTTTCTGTCAAACCTTGGTGAATCTATTAGAGGTTCTGGTGGGAGAAGAAGAGAACCTCGTTTCAAGGCTGAATGGTTTAATCCATGAGATCCTTGTTCGATAGACATAGATTTCCGTTTATTAAAGGGACTGATACAAGAGTTTCCAACCTTGAGAATACCTTTTATCCCTTGGTTGTTAGCTTCATCTTCTCTCCTATACTCCGGGTATACCTCACTACACACACCATCATCTTCAATACTGCAAAAAGGTTTAGGAGTTTTTCCTTCAAGAGACCTTTTATTCCAAAGTTTTTTTGGGATCCTGTCAAATGATCTTTGAGGGCGCAATGGTCTCCGCCTTTGAGGATTGATTAGAGAATTATTTTCAAGAGATTTTCTCCGGATTGTTTCCGTATCTGTAACTTCCTGGACGGATTTCTGGCGAGGAAAATATTGAAATGATTTTCGTTTTGTCTGTGGAGTACAGTACTGCTCCTAAAAATTACACCAATTCTAAGAAAATATTTTATACTATATTTATCATTATCATTATCATTATCATTATCATCATCATTATCATTATCATTATCATCATCATCATCATTATCATTATCATTATCATTATCACTATATTTATCATTATCATTATCATCATCATCATCATTATCATTATCATTATCATTATCATTATCATTATCACTATCATTGTCGTTATCATTATCATTTTCATCATCATTATCATTATCATAATCATTATCACTATCACTATCATTGTCATTATAATTATCATTACCATTATCATATTCATTATCATTATCATTATCATTATCAATATCATTATTATTATTATTGTTATTATCATTTTTATTGTTATCATCATTACTAGCTTTTATTATTATTATTATCATTATTATTATTTCTTTCATCCTCATTTTAGTTTGATAATTAACATAAAATTCATGTTGGTTTGTCCACCTGTTCAAAGTTTGATGTTAATCTTGAAGCAGGATCTGCAGTTAAATATCCTGATCTACCAGCACATACACTCTGTCGAGCCTCAACAATAAATATCACTTTTATCTTGGGAAAAGGTTTTATCTTAGTTTCAAATTTAAGAGATCAGAGATGGAATTTAAAGAATTCGGTCACAGATCAAAAACGAAAAGAGTCGAAATCGAAACAAAGGAAATGAATTATTGCCGACATTTTGTATGACACCGACACTAATATGCAATAGCTGCTAAAGCAAAAACCTGATTGTTTGCAATAGAATGTTGATAAAAAGTACCTGGTTATTGCTGCTGGCTCTACTTACTAGAATAAATATTGCAGCATAGCTTCCTCCAGCAGGGAGATAAAATAGTAGGGCAGGGATAACCTATATCACAGGGAGATAAAATAGAAGGCAGGGATAACCTATATCACAGGGAGATAAAATAGTAGGGCAGGGATAACCTATATCACAGGGAGATAAAATAGAAGGGCGGGGATAACCTATATCACAGGGAGATAAAATAGTAAAGATAAAATAGTAGATAGATAAAATAGTAGAGCAAGGATAACCTATATCACAGGGAGATGAGATAGTAGGATAACCTATATCACAGGGAGATGAGATAGTAGGATAACCTATATCACAGGGAGATGAGATAGTAGGATAACCTATATCACAGGGAGATGAGATAGTAGGATAACCTATATCACAGGGAGATGAGATAGTAGGATAACCTAAATCACAGGGAGATGAGATAGTAGGATAGCCTATATCACAGGGAGATGAGATAGTAGGGAAGGGTTGAAGGGGATAAACGTTACCTGCAGGGGGACGTTAGTTTCAGGGAGATAAAAACTAGAACTGGAATTTTCCAAAATGTAGCATAATTTCAAATTTTATTTAAACGACAGAGATATTTGAAATGTTGAAAATGGTTGCATCTGGTAGTTTGTATTCAAGACTTAAACATAAATATTATTGTAATTTATTTACATAAGTGATTGGTTTACTGAAAACGACCTGGTAGAAGATTGCTACATATTCCTTCTCTGAGTTAAAGGAATCACATGTACCCCTGTGTACAGAAATTTAAGATAATCAGCTAAGTACAGACGTAAAATAATGCAAAGGTATTTAGTCTTTGCTACAAACTCTGATATTCAAATCCATATATCTCTGGAACCTGATGATGTAATCCTTTGATATTTCAAACTAAAATTGTTTAATCTAACAGAATTTATAGTTTGAAATATCTAAGGTCCACAACATTAGATTGTAAAGGTAAAGGGATTAGAAAATCACAATTTGGGGTAAAGACTCAATTCCTTTTGTTTTATTTATCTAAGACTACCCACATTGGGTGTTACCTGAAGGACAAACTAAATTTTTGGAAAGATTTGATGATAGATATTTATCTTATGCACACACTGGATTTGCACATTTTTATATGTTATTTTTCAAATCATAACTTTTTTATAAAGTCATTCCTATGAATGTTAAAAAATGAGATTGTGTTTTATATAAAGATTTTCTTTGGTAAATATATTTGAATGGTAAACTCTTGTTCCTGCAGAGCCTGTAGAGCAAAAAGGGTTCGGACCAACGAGCTCCCATGGCAGCAGTAGCGCCAGATACAACTAAATTAAACCTTATTTAACCAAATAGGCGCGTACACAGGGGGGGCAGTAGTCCTCTTGCCCCCTCCCCTGAGATTTATTGGCAAAGGTTAAAATCAGTTGTGGGGGGTAAAAAATGACTTGCCTTCATCTTCAAATAAATGTTTCCCCCTTAAAAAACCAATTGAAAATTTTCTTGGCGCTTCGCGCTATTTATTTTTAAATCTTATTTTAGTATTTCCCTTTTATCTAACCCCCCCCCCACACTTGATAAACAACTATAGCTAAGCTATATGCATTATGCAAGTGTTTGGCATGTCTTCCTGCAACCCTCATGAAAGCCAAGGGGGATTACATTAGGTGAGGATTAAAGGAGAATAAAGAGGACGGAAGGCTAATAATAGTCTTCAGACTATTGAGGACTTCAGAGAGTAATACAGAACTATACAGAGGGATACATTATAATTTATTGTCCTTGAATTGGGACTACAACGGACTACATGACATGTAGTAGACTTAATATAGAATAACAGCATTTTAGGCCAAGGTGGGGGGGGGGGGGCGGCCAAATAAAAAAATTTCGCGCTTCGCATGAAAACCCCCCCGCCCCCCCCCCCCCCCTGGCTAAAAGCCTGTGTACGTGCTTTAAACTAAATTTACCGATATTGTGTCAAAATAAACATATAAGAACTGGTTTATGAATTGAACATTATTCTATAATCTACGTGGCATTATTTCATTAAAACAGTTATACTAAAGTGATAATAAATAGACGACAAAAAAACTTCTTAGCTTATTATATTAAGAAGTTTATGATTTGTTACCGTGTTGTGCATATCCAGCTGGATATGTTCCTTTGCAGAGATTGCGCATTTATATTAGTTACAAATACTCACCTCTTCTTAGCGAAAGGAATTGAATCTTTGTAACAAAATCAAATATTTAAACCCCGATATCTTTAGATTCCGATGTTGTAAACATTTGATATTTCAAACTCTTATTATTTGATTTAACAGAATTCATAGTTTGAAATAACTAAGGTCTACAACATTTGGTTCCAAAGATATAGTGATTAGAAAATCAGAGTTTGTGGCAAAGGCTCAATCCCCTTCCGCTATTTATTGATTATCACTGTAGAAATCAGCTTAAACCATGGAGGTTCGAGCTTTTATGTTTTTAACCTCGGGATCATCTTATGCAGCCAACCAAAGCGGATCTCTTTGATAAATTGTGGTGGTCATATCCTGCATATTGTAGTCAAAACATATACACAATATATTTGCAGCAGTTTTTTTCTATTACGGTTGCTAACATAACACAATACAAGCTCTGTAACTTCTAAAATAGTTTATGTTTATTCTTTCATTTCTTATCAAAGTTTTAACGCAGACTTTGCAAAGATTATCGAACAAACGTAAACAAATAATTGCACGCTATGGAACAACGTTTATCTACATAATTTGCAAATGCACATTATAAATTCGGATTTATTTTTCATTTTACAGGGTTACCCACAAAGAATAAGGCTTAAGATGCGACTGTACGGAACTTCTTGAGATCATTTTCTCAAACTTCTAGTAGTCTGCAGGTGTACACTTGTTTTCTATCTTTGCCAGATCAATTGATTTATCCTTTAAAAACTTATTAAGTTTAAATTTAATATTTAAATAGTAATATTTAAAGAGTTTTACGTCGTTGTTAAAGTCTCATTCTTTGTGGGTAAACCTTTCATATCTTGAACATTTTTCATTCTAGATATCCGTGGATATTTGCGACAGTGTGAGCCGTAGTAAATTTGAATTCTAGATATCCGTGGATATTTGCGACAGTGTGAGCCGTAGTAAATTTGAATTCTAGATATCCGTGGATATTTGCGACAGTGTGAGCCGTAGTAAATTTGAATTCTAGATATCCGTGGATATTTGCGACAGTGTGAGCCGTAGTAAATTTGAATTCTAGATATCCGTGGATATTTGCGACAGTGTGAGCCGTAGTAAATTTGAATTCTAGATATCCGTGGATATTTGCGACAGTGTGAGCCGTAGTAAATTTGAATTTCCGAGCGGGTCAACCTTTCCGGTCCCAGTTTGTACCGTACCTAGCGGTCAGACTTTATGCTTCATAAGTTGAATTTACTTTTACCAAAGGAGCAGATTTGCTTGGCGATGGCCATTCTCAGATACAATTTCAGAGGGGTCCATTGAAAATACTTTGAAACTTTGATCCCTGCGATTAAATACCTATGGCTATAGCTGGTAGAAGATGGGTCAGAGTTGTTCTAATCTTCTTTGCCGGAGGAGGTTTACCTTGCACTGATCTTACTACCAGGTACAGTCTTATATAGAAATATGTTTTATTTTATATTACAAATTTTTGCAAATATTCTTTGAGAGTTATAGTGTTCTTAAATCCTCATAAATGGGTTGGCGTCCGAAGTTAAGTTGCTTTCGTAGCAAATCCTCAATTTTTACGAAATTATATAGATCAGATGGCTAATTATAGATTAGACGGCTAATTATAGATCAGACGGCTAATTATAGATTAAACGGCTAATAATAGATCAGACGGCTAATTATAGATCAGACGGCTAATTATAATCGTTATGGAAAGGAGCAAATTATCAGTACTTTGCTTTTTGATTGTTTTAACATCTTAACTTGCATAATATAATATAATAGCTCAAGTTCCGGCGTTGTCCGTGAAATAAAAATAATTTGAATTTTTAAAAAATAAATTGATGTTTTTTATTAAAAGTTTAATTTTTTAAGAAGAAAAAATCTTTTTTTCGCCTATATTACCCTCAAGGTACTCTTAGGTTTCCTAAAAAAATCAGCCAATTCGGTTCAACCGTTTGGAGCAGCTATAGCTAACATATATACAAATATATATATATTTATATATATGAACGAAGAGCCTTATTATATAGATATTTTCCATACAGAAAATTCATAAATTGCTTTTTAGTTTTTACAAATTTTTTTCCAAAATGCTCAAGTTTAAAAACGGAACATATATTTTCTTGCAAATGTGTATTGATAAACCAGGGATAAAAATACAAAATATTACCTGTACACAGATATCAGGGTCCACATAATGTTGCTGCAGTTGGAAAACATGAAGGGAAGTGATATAAAAGATTTACAAACCTAAAATAATCTTTATTTAAAGGAATTGAGTCTTTGCCACAAAATCTGATTTTCTATTTCCTACATAATTTCAGTCCAATGCAGTAGACTTTAGTTATTTCTAAAATGAATTCTGTAAAATAATCAAAGTTTAAAATATCGATGGTTTACACAATCAGGTTGCAAAGATATGAGGATTAGAAAACCTGAGTTTGTGTGACAATAGATTAGTTTACCATTGATATATAGCGTCGATCCACTAGACTAGACACAGTTCCTTGTAATATCAATGCTTTAACCGCTACTCCTAGAGTGGATTCAAGTAAACAGAAACAACAGATCCAGATTAGAAGATGGTTTATTGATGTTGTCAGTTTAGGATTTCCTCTGAAATAAAAAAAATGTAGTGTTAAAGAAGAGTATAATGCGTACGCAGCTCTCTCTATATACATTTAACTGTGAATAGTTTATTTTAAAAAAAAAGCTTTTATAATGTAGTATGTACCGCGCGGGTAACCATTGTGGGTTCATCTCTTAAACCAAAGATAGATTTCTTTTAGTTTAATTCGCATTAGAATTTTGCGAACTAAAGCTATTGATTTATCTTGTATACATATTATATAGGATACTGTAATGACTAGTTGTACCTGACTCCAATAATAACTACTCCATTAAGAAATATTCCTGTTACTCCAACTGATATAATGATTCCAGCAAGAAGACCAGGGGAAGGGGAAGCATCAGGGTTTGATACACAACTCATGTTTAACTAAATGTTATAATTCAATAAAATTTATATAAAAGAGGTTAAAATATCTTGAATCTTTAAAAGTTTTTTATCTTCGTTTGCCTAAAGACATTTGACTTAAACAATTATTTCTTAATCAATGTTTCTTGGTTCTAGAAGTCAAGTGCAGAAAAAATTAAAGGACTCTCATACTTACAATTTACACTCTCTCTCTCAGAGGACTTACAACATTTAATTAATTAAAGGACTCTCATACTTACAATTTACACTCTCTCTCTCAGAGGACTTACAACATTTAATTTTAATAATTAGAAGAGAAAAACTGAAAAATATGTTTCAAATGATTTGTTAATTTATAAAAAAAAAATGTAAAGACATCCGCACAGTACAATTGCTCTGAGCGTGTGATAAATGCTGTAATTTGGACAGTCAGAGTTTGTTTTAGAGCGGACGGGGATTCAGAATTTGATAATTAGTGAATCTTTACTTTCGTGCCTGTGTTCCTCATCCAAATTAAGATTATTTGTTTCTTTCTATTAGATTAGATAATCTTTGTTTAAAATATTAAAGGTTTACAACATTACATTACAAAGATATAGGGATTCGAAAATTTGGGTTAGTGGTATAAACTCAATTTCTTTATTCCAACATAGCTCAGGCGTACTTACATCTATTTAGTTTCGCGCGAAAGGATCTTGTCAATACAAACATGGATAGATTATCATTATTTTTCTCTATTTATATTAGTACATGATATCATATGTTAGTCATACACCTGGTTCGATGGAACTGAGTAGAGGAGGAGGGTTCCGTTCTTATCAATCTCAACCATCCTGACACTATCCATCCTTCGTAAAGAAAACTATTCTCCGACCTGGACTTGGATTCAAGAAAAATATTCTCTGAAAGAATATTATTACTACTGAATAGCTTTCAATAATATTGATATTCTAAGAAAGGGTAAATATAATTCTAAAACTATGTGTGGGCGGTAAAATTGGTAATGTAACTGAAGGGAGGGGCAGGTTGTAATCGAAGAGCAATGTTTACTTTACTCTTTATATTGCTCAACAATCACCATTCAATCAACCTGACAAACATAATAAAACAATAATTAAAGATAACGGTGATTAATATGTCCAGAAGATTGAGAGCTCTAATTAAATAAACATTTTCTTGAAAATTCAAACTTTTCGTATTTTTTATTTCTACTTTTATCGTTGAGCAAAACTTTTGTACATTTTGTAATTAAAAAAAATATATAACAATTTGACTGATAATTTGATACAGCTACGGAATCTTCTTGCATTTAGTAAGTATGTTTTTTAATCAAAAAGTCTTATCGACTAGACACTTAATGATTTTATGATTTCAAAATTGACATTTTCATTTTGTAATTTATTTAAACAAATTCAATAATAAAAACTATCTCGTAAAATGAGCAGGGGGTTAGTGTTAAAAAGTCTAATGATTTATAACATGAAAGATGAGTATAAAGCTACTGTGGGATACTATTCCCCGTTTATATCAAGGTATCAAGGGCTGTATATATCATCTACGCTTCTTTTTTTAAACCTCTTGAAAAAATATCAAAAAAGAAGAAAAACTAGAAAATAGATTAGAAAAAGAGCAGACCTGAAAATTTCAGGATTCATTTTACACCTTGTGTTTACATTAAATCATCTACCCTCCCCCCCCCCCCTNGATAGACAGATAGACAAGAGAAGTTTATTCTTTACGTATACGTGTAAGAGATCAAAAAAAATTTAAGATGGATTTTTTTTTAATGTAGTTGTTTTGAATATGCAACAAATAGATTCGTTTATTTCTGAACAACAATAATTACCAAGAAGGCAAAAGATTTCGAATTTTCCACGTTTTTTTATTTTTTATTTGCACCTAAACAGGGACAGAGATGTACTAAAGGGTAAAGTATATAATGAATTGTCTCTCAACCGTTTATGATGGACAAACCTCTTCTTAAAAACAAAATTAGCAAAAATCCACTACAAAGAAGGGGTACAGTGATAACCAGATAACTCTGAAATAGGAAGTCGACTGTTGAACTTAATTTACGACTTTAAATTGTCCAATGAAACATGAGGGATAGCTATTGTGCAGTGTAAACAAACCTCAGAATATATATAATATAGAATAACAGGTGGCAGCATTTGGTTTGGGAAGTGTTGGACTGTGGAGGTTATGCAGTACAATACATAAAAAAAATACAGGATAAAAATTCTTTTACAATTTAACAAACGTTTTAATGAATTTCTAGTAATACCTGGCTCAGCAGGAAAAGAGCTACTCTGAGGTATATCAGAACTCCTCTGTAGGAGAACAGAACTTTTCTGAGGGAGAGCAGAATTACTCCAAGTGGGAACAGCGCTAGGCTGTTCATGACTCAGAAGAATGTCTAAAAAATATGAATGAAATATTAAAATACATTTTTAAAACAATTTCATTTTAAACCTTCCCGATGATATTAAGATGTTGAAGCCCTCGTTGTTCTGTGGAAAAATTCGTTTACAAACCAAATAATTTAGGGTATTTTAAGGAATACAACAATATCTTTTAATTTAAAAGTGTTTAGAATCGTGATAACTACTAAGTGCAGTGTTTAGGAAAACTCTGAAAATTTCAACAGCCTCAGACCAATACTTTTTGAGTTATGTTAAAAAAACTACAGGGGGGGGGGTCTAATTGCCCCCCCCCCAGCAGGAATAAGGCTAAGCTACATGAAGTGATAACCAGAAAACTCAGGAATAGTAAGACGATTCTGAGGATAAAGTTTTAACTTTACAAAATTTATAAACCATGAAACACAGCAATTGTGCAGTGTGTCTGGTAAAATTATTTGCTTTGTAACACCATGAAATACACTTAAGTATTAATGTAATGTCGTCTTCCTATTTCATTGTTTTCTTGTTATTACTGTATATAAAGTTACATATCGGAAAAGTCATTGATAAGTAAATATAAAATCAGTCGTCACATGTTTTTATTTGACAACAACAACAAAAATGTTATTTTTAACNCTGTATATAAAAGTTACATTTCGGAAAAGTCATTGATAAGATAAATATAAAATCAGTTGTCACATGTTTTTATTTGACAACAACAACAACTGGACCCTTAATGAATTTAAAGCAGCCAGCCTTCGTAGGATTGAATGAAATTACATTTATATTAAATCATTTATTAGAACAATGTTAACTAAATAAGCAGGGGCGGATACAAGGGGGGGCGGCAGGACCTTCGCACCCCCCTGACGGATTCAGGGAGGGGGCGTATCCCCCCTCCTGAGATTTCAGAATAGCTCCTCAATAGCACTTAAGGGAAGGAAAACCTAGTGCAATACAGAAAAAATATCTTTAAAAAACTTTTGTTTCTATATCTGAATGTTTTTGTTCCGAAATAAATCTAGCACCCCCCCCTGTAAATAAGTCAAGACTCACCCTCTCCATTATCTAGCAGTTCCTGTTGATGTGGATGGTGGATAGGATGGAGACTGGGAACAGCGTTATAAATTAAATTTCGTCCGGAAACGTATTTGTTTTCCAAATGTTTCGCACAGACAACACTAAATTTTCCCTGAGTCCAGAAACCTGGCCTTCCTGTAAAGGTACTCTACGTTTTTTTTTAACTTTTCATCTTTTGGAAAAGAATGAAATCTTATCTTGTTTGTCTGATCCGTGTTACAATTTAACACTGAACAATACCTCATGCTTGTTTATACTGAGAAATCATGTAACTGATCAAAACAAATCCCCCCAAGAACAGTGTACTAAATGTACACAATAACATACCAATACATGTTCACAATGTAATACCAATACAGGTGCCACCTGTTATTCTACAGGGTGTCCCACGAAACATGACAGTATGCAGGACGACTTGAATGTCGTCTTGATTTTTGATATAATTTGCTGCGTTTATTTGTCAACCTAATTTTAGAAGTAAATTTATAGAGATAATAATCACAAAATTTCCCTTGTCCTGCCATTTCCAAAATGTGGTCTGCCTTTTTTGTGCTTTCAATATTGCCCGAGATATGAAGAATTTCGTTCAGATTTCGACAATTTTGCTTTTATTTAACAAAATTGAAATCTGAACCAAACTCTTTATATCTCCGGTAATATTGAAAGCACAAAAAACGCAGACCACTTTTTGGAAATGCCAGGGCTAGGAGAATTATGTGATAATTGTTTCAAGAATCATGCATGTTAAAGTAGATAGAAGACTAAATGTCACAAATAAATTCAAATACCAAAGACGACTTTCAAGTCGTCTTCCTATTGTCTTGTTTCGTGGGACACCCTGTATATTATATATATTCTGAGAAACAAACCCATTCCACTTAAAAAGTGATTTTTATAACTTCAAGTAAAGGTTTTTTGGTTTGTAACAACATAAAATTAACTTCAGTATTATGTATTATTTAAATGTCGTCTTCCCATTCTTCAGTTTTCGGCTAATTACTGTATGTGTTATTGTTTCTAAAAAATAGTGTTAGAGGGATGTTCAGTTTTTTAAAAGATATAATTAAAACCTTTAATCTTGAAATTGTGAATACAAGCAAATCAATGATGTCCTAGTGAAAATCAACAATTCTTGTTTTCCTTTACTCATGTCAGCCTTTAAAACATAAATTCTATACAATTTTCAAAATGTGACTTATTTTATTAAACTTTCAGAATTTACTTTAAAAATTTAAAATGTTAAGAGTTTTTTTCCGGTTTGGATCAATTTAGTATAACTGAAATTTTGAAGTTTTCATTTAACTTCCATTGTTCAAGGACTGACTCTTTATTTTCGAGTGACCCTGTAAACAGAAGAGTCATGATCACATATTAACATTGAGGATCTGATCTCTGTCAAACAATTCTTCTATTTGGAAAGAAGAGGAAACTTTTGTCGTCTTCCTCGGCCTTTTATTTTGTTAGTTTAATTTTTAATATGCTTTTCATTTTTTTCGCCCACGGGGGTCGCGTTTCAACGTATTTTGGTCGGACATAGTCTGAGACGTCTTATATTATAAAAAGTACGGATGGGAAGATCCTATGATCAATAACGCAGAGCCCAGATCCAGGGGCGTATATAGGAATTTTAATCCCCAATTTCCTTCCCTATGTACGCCACTGCCCAGATCTTCCAAAGTTAACGCGCGCGCGGTGACGGCGCGTCCGTTTGTATTTTTTTCCGCTTCCGCACCCGTTTTCTCCTATAATGTTTCGTACATACCTGCTGATGTTAAGATCTTATAAAAATGTTTTAAAGAAGGAAATTTCCACCAGAAAAAAGACCATTTGTGCATGTTATTCGTATTTTCCTTTTCACAAAATGGATCTGGAAGACAAAAAGGGTGCGGAAAAGAAGCGTTAAGGCATTACACTCAAAACTGCGTTATTTCTGGTAAAGTATAGATGTAACTCACAATCGACTGTGTCTGTAAATGTCAGTAAAACGTACGAATCATGGGTAGCAGAGCCCAGAACTGAGAAGTTAACGGGTCATTTTAACGTAATTTTTATCTAACCGTACTTTATGGTGTTTGGCAATTATAGATGTCTCCCTTAAACAAAATTATACAGTTTTGAACCGCATACTTACATCTTTTAATCCTTACATCTTTGCAACCAGTAGTTGAACTTGGTACAGAAGTTGAACTACTTTTTAAGTGTGGATGTGACTAGACAAGATGAGTATTATTTCATTTAGCCATACTTAGTTCAACTATTCCTTACTATTCATTAAAGGAATTGAGTCTTTGCCACAAGTTCAATTTTTTTAATCCAAATGTTTTTGCAACCTGATAATATAAACCTCTGATATTTCAAACTTATATTATTTGATCTAACAGCATTCATAGTTTGAAATTTCAAAGCCTACAACATTGGGTTGCAGCGATATTGAAATCAGAAAATCAGAGTTTAGGTCAAAAACTCAATTCCTTTGACCTCACATGTTGTATTTTCTATTGGGTAAAAAAGTCTAAGTTTGAAATATTAAAGGTTTACATCATCAGAGTTGGCGTCGGATGCATATTATCTCCCTTATACATTTTTACCGATTTTACATGAAGAGAAGTATCTTCTTCTGTTCATAAGTAAATATACAAATCTTTTTATCAGGGTCGAGATCAATTTATTTTTTAGCTGTAAAGGATTGTCAAAGGAGTTTGTATTGGCTACAAACTCTGATTTTCTAATCTCTATATCTTACAAACTAATTTCGAACACAATTGATTTTTCAAACTTTGAATTCTGTTAGATTAAATAATCTACGTTTTAAATGTTTACACCATCACTTTACAAAGGTAAAGGGATTAGAAAATTTGAATTTCTAACATTTTATAAATCAAGTTTTTATTAAATTGTTGAAAAATTGTTTATTTTGTTTTCTTTTTAGATACAATATTTGATTTGTTTCAAGGGCTCGCTGTAAATAAAATTGTTATTTTGCTATAAAAATGTAAGTTCGAATTTTCAAGATAATTACCATACATTTTATAATGATATCAAAACTCATCCGTTTGTAATTATTTTTATCGAAATTTGTCAATTGAACTCTGTTTGAAACAGTTGGAGACAAAATGGATTTAAAAATGTCAAAACACGCACTGTCTGGTTATCGATCCAAAGGGAGTCACGAGGGTTTAATTTGTAAGAAAATACGTATCAACTTAGGTGAACACGTGCAATGGAACTGTAAAGGCTTTATTTCAAGTGTAACCCTCTATGCAAAGATGAGAATGCCCGATTCACAACGGTTCCTTTAATAGGCTTTGTCCGATCAAGTATGAAATAGATATCAACGATAATAATTTTGAAAATTAATAATTTTCAAATATGGTTTCTCTCCAAGAATGAATTGAGTATTTCTAATTCAGGAAACATAGGAATTATCCGAATTAATCACTTTTAACTCTAGAAAAAAATACCATATCTTTTACTATATATTGATCAAAAAAGGTAACTTGAAAAAACGTTTACAGTCCTTTGAAGAAAATAAGTTTCATATTGTTATATCTTGTTAGAGTACAAAGTTATTTTAAAAAAGTAAAAGCGAAATATTTCCCTCGTTAAGTATCGTGTAATGCACCGTGATACGGGAGGACGGTGTATGGGGGAGAAGAGTGGCGCCGTGGCGCTTATAAACTTGCGTGCAATATTTTCTATAATAAAGTCATAACAACATAATCAACTTTAAAAAATAATTTTGTTTCTTAAAAATTGAGGAAATTACATATTTGTGACGCATTCAATTTGAAATTAATCTTTTAATAAGAATTGTTGAATTTGAGACTAGAATGAAAACGAGGACTGTTTTGTTGGCTCCAGAGTCAAACTATCGGAGCCAGTCTGTCGGGAGTAGAACTCAGGGTTAGTTTAAACCTTGATCTCTCATATTCTTTCATCTCTCTTCTCTCCAGGATCCAATATAGATAAACCTGGAGAAATTTCTTGGTTTCAAAGCCAAATAATAACTCAAAACTAATTTTATTAATAAGAATATCAAATTTTTCATTTAACACATGTTAGTAGAAAAATCTACATAAATTACATCCACCAGATTCATACTTGAAAGAATCAATACGCTTAATTTTAATCTGTTATTAATTTAGGAATTAACTTTAATCAAAGGAACTAAGTTTTTGCCACAAACTCATATTTTCTAATTGCTGTATCTTTGTGGAGTTCAATGTCGTAGACCTTTAATATTTCAAACTATGAATTCTGTTAGATCAAATAATACACGTTTGCAAAGATAAAGGGGTCAACAAGTTTGAGTTTGAGGTAAAAACGCAGCTCCTTGGTAAATGTTTTAAGCATTGAAATTTAAAAATACTTTATTCTTTAATAACCTGATTCTATTGATATTTCCATCTCAAAATTCTGCAAACTTAAAATCATTTTAATGTGAGTTGTTTTACTTTATAGAAAATCTCCTGTTTTAACAAGAATAATCCATAATTATCCTCGAAGAATAACTTTTTTAATTTTGTTAAAAAACCAGGAAGTTTACAACCATAAAATAATTATTTTTAATTATAACCATACCATTAACGCCTCATTTAATCCATTAAAAGGAATACTAATAAAAACTATAAATAAAAAACATTTGGTTTCTGGTAATTAGCTATTTGCATGAATAAATCAACAATCGTCAAACCAACTATAAATCATATTGTTTAGAAAACAATGTATTGGACTGTACAAGTATAAGTAAGACTAAGAATGGTTTCTATGAGCCTGGTACTGCTCCAGCTACTATTGATATTTTCTGGTGGGAGTCTGGTGTCTGGTTTCTGTCCTAAAGGCTGCTCCTGCAATGACCAGCAGCTAGTGGTAGAGTGTACTAACACAACATTAGGAAATTATATGGTTGAATATTTTTCAAGATTGTCCAAAAGCTAAAAGACAAAAGTTAAGAATATTTTAAAAATAGAATATTTATCAACATCAACCTGTACAGGAGAATCACTAATTAGAATATGATTTATTGGTACTTTTTCTTTACTTGTCATTAAAACTTTTTTCTGAATAAGATGTTATGAGAAAAAAGAGTCTTTGTATAATAAACTCACATTTTATAATCCCTATACCCTGGCAACCTGATGGTGTAACCCTTTCAAACACAGACTCTTTGATCTAACAGAACTTGTTTATAATATCTAAGGTCTACGACACTGTGTTGCAAAGATAAAAGTATTATAAAATCAGAATTTGTAGACTCAATTCCTTTGTTTGATCAAAGGAATTGAGTTTTTACCACAAACTCAAATTTTGTAATTTCTATATCTTTGCAACCTAATGATGTAAATGTTTAATATTTCAAACTTAGGCTATGTGATCTAAAAGATTTCATAGTTTGAAATATCTAAGGTCTTCGACATTGGGTTCTAGAGTATAGGTATTACAAAATTAGAGTTTGCGACAAAACTCATTTCCTTTAAAAGGAAAATACGATTTTTGCATACAAACCTTTAAAAACATTATTAAGTTAATATTTATCTGAACACTTAATTATGAGATAGATGTTCTCCCCATCGCTTTAAATACAAGAATTCTTCACCTCAAGATGAATTTAAACAAAATAAATATTGTCGATGCATCTTTTCAGGTCATAGAGTTTATACTTCTTAAATTAAATATTTAAAAGAATAGAAAATACAGATTTATTAATAAATTGTATACAATGATTTGCAACTTCCAATCTGTGTAAGATCCATTTCATTTTGAAGCGGATTCGCCCTAAAAATTTGATCCGTATCCTGATCCAGGTCATGAATTCTTCTTCAAGATTTCCTGTTTTTTTTAACAAAAAAAAAATTTTTAAAGAAAATTCTAAAATTAAATCAAAAATATTATTAGAAATAGAAAATAAATTAATTCAGTTTTACGAGCACCTGGAGACAATTGATCTGTGTCGGAACCTTATCTCTAGGATTGAAGATAAAAGTTTTGCAGCGCAGAAGAACCTCAAGGTTCTCTTGCTGGATCAAAACAGATTAATAAGATTGAACAATCAGGTATAAAAACTTAAAGAATGATATTTGTGACCAATCAAAAACAAAAATATTGTTTTTCAATGTATGAACATAATTGGTGTATCTACTTAAATATAAATATATCCATAAATATATACCTAGATTAGAACTCGAAACAGAGCCCATAAGTTCTGAGCTGCAACGGAGTTTTTATTTGACTTTCAAGACCTATCAAACCAAATGTAATTGTCTAGCTCTATACATTTAATGGGTGAACATGGATATATACAAGTTCACAGACTATCAAATCTGGACCAAATGTAAATCACAATTTGAAACTTTAGGCTATGAAACAGAAATGTAATTTTTTATTTTACGGTTTCCATTTTTTTTTGTATTTTTACAAACCTTGAACTTCATTAAAAATAGCTACGGTCAGTAGCAATTTAAAACTTTCCGTCTTAAATTACCGTATATTTCTGATTTTTTCTATTCAACCTATCCAATGAATGGGTTAATGAGGAAAGGACATCATCTAATTTTCTAAAAAATGGATTCACACAGGATTTACCAGAGACAGTTTTATGAAAAACTTCTCTTATTTGATCCAAGAAAATGAGCTGAGTGAATTCTTTGAAGTACAAATTGGTTTGGGTTTGGGATTACGAATCGGTCAATTCTGATTTCTTGTGAGAGGGGACGGGGGGGGGGGGGGCGCGGGTGAGCCAATGAGATTAAAAAACGAATTCTAATGACATTTAAGTTTAGAGCCTTTTTCTCCAATTAAATCATACTTTAGTTAAAAATATATAATTTTTCTCTGAATATTAACTATTCTAACCCAAAAACCTTCCTTGCTTTACATTCTACCTTAACTGTTAATCTTTTTTGCGAGTACTGTTTTATCAAAATTCCAACATTATATTAGACGATTTTCATACTGTAAAGTGACTATAAAGGTTGTTTAACCTAACAACTTGTTAAGCATACAATATCGTTCATTTGAAAATAATCAAACTTGCATGAATTCATTTAAGTCTCATTAATTCTATATTTTATAAATCTATATATAAATTTGGCTTGTCTGTCTGTCTGTTTGTCTGTTTGTTTGTTTGTTTGTTTGTATCCAATAAACGTCAAAACGGCTGAACCGATCGGGCCCAAATTTTTTGTGGGACATCTAGGGACCCCAGGGAAGGTTTATGAATGATTGAAATTTAAAAAATTTGTGTTTTAAAGGTTTTTAATTTTGTAAAAAAAATTAAATTTTTGAAAATCCACGAATTTTTTTTTAAAAATCCGCAAAAAATTTTTCATCGTTGTTTTGAAATGTAAACAAAAAGAACATGTTCACAATTAAAATAGAAGATCGGCGCGAAGCGCCCTAAAAGCCTAGAAAGAAGGGCGCGAAGCGCCTTGAATTTCTAGTATTTTATAAATGAATAAAAAATTATGCCCAATGCTCATCTGCAACTCATGTACAATAATTTCAAGGCACGCACATCTGCTCCTTTAGTAAAAGTAAATTCAACCTATATGAAGCATAAAGTCTGACCGCGACAACCTTGTTGCACCGGAAGTACAGTAAAAAACTGGGAACCGAAAGGTTGACCCGGTTCGGAAATTCGAATGTACTACATGCTGCCCGTGAAGGTTAAACATCAATATTTTTTTAGGCCTTTACTGGGCTTTGGGCTTTAGAAGAACTTTCATTGAGGTTAGATCTAAAATTTAATTGATAGTGGATGGTAAGGTTACTGCCAACTTAAATTTTTGAATCTAAGTATAAAGCTTTTTTTCAAGGAATTGAGTCTTTGCCACAAACTCTGATTTTTAAATCCCTATATCTTAATAACCCAATGTTGTAGACCTTAGATATTTCAAACAATCAAAGTTTAATTTGGATGTAGATATATAGGTATTAGAAAATTGTGATTTGTTGCAAAGACTCAATTCCTTTAAAGAGTTTAAAGTTGAATCAAACCTTCGAGAGATAGTATTCATTCAACACTCAAAGCTTCAAAAGTATGAAGCTTATAGGGCACTTCAAGAGTTAAAAGTTTAATAAAAAATCAAAATTTTAGCTTATGATAAGCATGAAGAGTAAAGATCTAAAAGTAAAAAGTTGATAAAGATAAAGGAATTAAGTCTTTGCTCCAAACTCAAATTTTCTTATCCTAATATCTTTGCAACCTGATAATATAAACCTTGGATATTTAAAACATTGATTATTTGATCAAACATGATTTATATTTAGAAGTATTAAAGATCTATTTATGACATTGGGTTGCAAAGATTAGGGATTATTAAATTATAAAATCAGAGTTTGTGAGAACAACTTAATTCCTATAACTCAAAACTTCCAAAGTAAAAGTTAATTCAACACTTCAAGAGTTAAAAATTCAAAAGTTAAAAGAAAGTTAAACCAAAACTTCAAGAGTTAAAAACAATAATTTAAAAAAGTTTAAAAATTAAACTTAAACTTAAACTCTAACTGTTGTGGTTTACAGGAATAATCTGGTGAATGCACTACCTACAGGATTACTAGATGAACTGACCAGTCTCAAGATCTTGGATTTATCCCACAATAATATTCAGACAATACCAAGTAATCACCAGTGGCAATCCCTTTAATCAAATAATATCCATGAGTATATGCAAACCTAATCCTAAATGGCTCTCCTGCAAAAGTCTTCGCGTTTTTGAATGAAAAAATTTCCAGAAAGGGATCGTTTACCTGTTTCAAAACTTATGATTCCCCAATTTTGGAATAACCAAATAATCAAACAAATCTTATCGCCAAAATCATTCGGCACATTTTCTGGATTTTTGAATGTTAAATATTAATCAGTTTTAATAACTTTTGTCGTATATTGGGACAGCTTGAAATTTACAAAAAAAACCCACTAAAATCGCATTGGTTATTTTGAGAGAAAATATCGAATTATTACAGCACTCGGGGACATCATAGAGCGGTAAGACAGGCTTAGTTATGGTCCTAATTTCGGAGAAGTAGTAATATATTTTTGAATTATATATATAGTAATTGTTTCCAAGCATGAGATTACCAATATTTTGTGTTATTTTATGTTTTAAATTTTACGATATTTCCAGTAAACTATACTAAAATCTTATGTTTTAGGCCAAGTCTTTAGACTGTGCAGTAATCTTTTGAGTCTGAACTTAGGCTTTAATAAGGTATTACAAATCTTAATGCTTAACAGAGGATGCTTGAATCTAAATATTTTACATGTATATCTATATAACAAAGCTTTTCGCTCATATATACTAACCTAATTGCCCGACGTTGCCCGTGGAAATTTTAAAGTTTTTAAAGTAATTTTTAAAGTTCGGATTTTTTTATTCGAATTTTTTAAAGTTTTTCTAAAATTCACCAAAACTACGTTTTTACAACATTTTGTTTACATTTTCAATTTTTCATAAAAGCACAAAAAAGTGTTGCACTAAAACGTATTTCTTTATAACACATCTCCAATAAATACCTTAAAGGAATTGATTATTTGTCACAAACTCTGATTTTCTAATACCTATATACATATCTTTGGAACTTGATGTTTTATACCTTTGATATTTCAAACTGTAAATCCTGTTAGTTAAAATAGTCTAAGTTTGAAGTACTTTACACCAATAGGTTGCAAAGATACAGGAATTGGAGAATTTGAGTTTGTGGGAAAAAACTTATTTCTTTTTACTTAGTTTGATTCTGTTCCTTCCGATGCATTTGAGAACACACGTAAACTAGAGATGCTAGATTTATCCAGTAACCAGCTTAAACTAATTCAAGATGGATCCTTTAATTTCATTAGCACACTCATTTCTCTCAACCTTGCAAATACTTCATTATCCAGCCTGGACAAAGATTCTCTTTCAAACCTTGTTTTGCTGAAGAACCTGAACCTGAGTGAGAACAAGCTTGATTCTATTCCTACCAACCAGCTGAGAAATCAGAGAAAACTGAATATTATCGACCTCAGTAATAATATGTTCAAAGTTCTAAGCCCACATGCATTTAGACAATTAGAAGCTCTTCAGGTAATTATTAGGAAAAATATTTTGAATCGCATTGTATTTTATTCATAATTAGTTTATTAATCAACCAGAAAACATTAAAATTGAATGAAATAGGAATTGAGTTTTTGCCGAAGATTGTCTAATCCCTAGATCTTTATAATCCAATGTCCTTGAAAATTTCAAACTATGAATTCTGTTAGATAAAAAAATCTAAGTTTGAAATATCAAAGGTTAACACTATCAGGTTGTAAAGAAATTTTGAACTTAGAAAATTTGAGTTTGTGGCAAAGACTCAATTTCTTCAAAAGAAGGTAAATCAAACTTTATAAATCTTACTGTTTAGGTTGTCAATATCTCCCACTGCCCTGGGCTGCTACAAATACAAGCTGCAAGTTTTCACAACAACCTTGATCTTCATGTTGTGGATCTATCAAACAATCCTAGACTTTCAGATATCCAACCTCACGCCTTTCCTCAAATCCTTCACATTCAAACTCTTCTTTTATCCTACACAGGATTAACCTCTCTGCACGAGGACGCTATACCCTGGAATAGATTGATAAAACTAGATCTATCTGGTACAAGGATGGTTTGCTCCTGTCAGCTAGCATGGTTGACCAGCAGTGGAGATGTCACCGGTGGAGTATGTAGCCAACCTAGTCGACTAGCCGGGACTAATCTCTCACAAATAACTACGGCAGACCTTGGTTGTGGTTATCAATATTCGGAAGAAGTTATTGTTGTTGCAATTGTTTGTGCAGTAGTGCTTGTTCTTGCTCTAGGTAAGTTTTTGAATTTTTGTTTTGTTTTGAAGCTTATGATGAGAAACATGTCCTTAAAAATCAAAATTATGAAATATTTTCTATAGGTGGAGCTGTGACATGCTGCTTGCTAGGAAAGAAAATGAGAAACCTGGGACGAATGAGAAATCTTGCTCCATCCTGCACTCTCGCGGCTAGAGAGCAGGATCTAAAAAGCAGCTACGACAACTGTTTATACGTTGAGAAAAACTATGGATTAGTTGGTTCAGAAAGACCTGGCTTAATTTACTCTGGGATGAAAACCGTTCAAGCTCCAGAAAAGGAAGAATTTAAAAATCTTCGGGTACCTGAGATTTGTTCTACACAGCTTTAGTCAACTTAAAATAACTGCTAAAAAGGATTGGCCTATTAATTAAAAAAAATATTTCAGAAAAGAATCAGGTCTTCGCCACAAACTCAATTTTCTATCCCTATATCTTTTTAACCTAATGGCGTAAACCTTTGATTTTTCAAATCTAGATTATTTGATCCAACAGAATTCATAGTTTGAAGTATCTGAGGTATACCGATTACGACATTTGGTTGAAAAAATATATAATGGTTGTAAAACAATTAACAGGCTAATAGTCTGGTTAATTGGCTAATTGGTTCGTTGGTTAGGTTGGTTCGTTGGATAAGCTCCTCAACTCGGACACATTAGTCTCCAATAATCAGTAAATAGATATCTTTCAAACCAGCAATAGAATGCAGGTAAAAATAAAATTTAGTGACAATGTTAATAAAATTAAATGACAATGTATAAATATATTTGATTATTTAATAGTTTTCCGTGACGGAGTAAAACAGGAGTTATTAAGGTTTTGAGGGTTTGATAATAGAATAGTTTAAAACATTTGTTATCACTTCTTAAATATAAACCCGGACTTTTTAGTGGAATTTATTATGGATTGCAAAGTTATTTATGGATTTGATCTTTTATTTAGTAAAACGTTTCACTGTTTAGATTTTCCTTTGTCGAGGTAGAGGGGTAGAGTTGGAGAAATTGTTTGGTTTGGATTTGGGGTTGGTAAAGACGACATGATGTGAGGGTGGGGGGGTTAGGAGATAGGTTTATGGTCAACAATGGTATTAGAAAATAAGTGTTTGTGGCAAAGACCTAATTCCTTCATGTTAATTGAGCAATAACATTAATCCTTAAAAACAAATTTTTTCCTTCTTTTATTTTTAACATTTAATTGAGTTTTCATCGAATCAGAATCATTTAAAACGGAAATGAGTTTGTGTCACAACTCAAACTTTCTAACCCATATTTTTCAACCTGATACTGTAAACCTTTGATATTTCAATCCATTTGAAATTACAGAATTCATAGTTTTAAATATCAAAGATCGGAGACACTGGGTTGGAACGATATTGGATCAAAAACCCAATTCCGATTTTACAAACTGTTTTTTATAAGAATGTCTCTTATTATTCTCATATTCTCATCAAGAGTTAACAATAAAAGCTTCAACTCTCTGTAGAAATCTAAAATTTTCTTCAGATTTGTAAAATAAGATAGATATTATTTTTTACTAACACAAAAATCTGAGCTTACCAATCTGAGAAAAAAGTCAAGTATTTCAGAATGTAACATTTTTGTTGTAATATATAGATATGATATTATTATTGTTAGTCAACACTGTATTTTCATTAAGAAAAGAATGATTAATACTTTTATCTCCATTTCAATTTTCATGTTCGAAATCGTATTTTACATGCATGTAGAAACGAAAACATACAGATTGAACCCATCAACTAAACTAAAATTCAGCCTAAAAGTGCACAACAAAAAAAACTTTATTTGAACTCTTATTTTAAATAAACAAATGCAAATGTTTTAACTTACTCGTACGTATCTAGAAGTTTCAATATATTTTATGCTAAGGAATTGAGTCTTTGTCACATCCCTGATTTTATATTCCCTATATATTTGCAACCCAAAATCGTAAACCTTAGATATATCAAACTCTAAATGTTTTAGACAAAACAATCTAAGTTTGAAATATGAAAGGTTTACACCATCAGGTTGCTAAGATATTGGCATTCAAAAATTTCAGTTTGTGGCAAAGACTCAATTTTTTTTGTACGAATATGAATTAAAATAAAAATATGACAAGCAAAACATTTTTTAAGAAAGGAATTAAGTCTTTGCCACAAACTCTGATATTCTAGTTCCTATATCTTTGCAACCCGATGTCATAGACCTCAAATATTTCTAACTAATAACTATAACTATTAATTGTTATGTAATATAATCTAAGTTTTAAATATCAACGTTTTACACAATTAGATTGAACAGTCATAGGGATTAGAAACATTTGAAGTTTGTGAGAAAAATCAATTCCTTTTAGTAGTTTAACATTATCAATTGACACAGTTTACAAACATAATTAATCAATGTTTATGTAAAACATATTATATTATCAATTAGCATGCTATGAACTATAATAGAATAAATTATCATAAATTCATTTATTCGAACTCTAAACATTCATCTGATTTTTCTTTTTCTTTGGGCCAAGTGTTAGTTTTGGAACTAAAATCCCCTGAACTTACCGACTAACCTAAAAATGTGTGGGAGAGAGATTTTTGGGAACTCCTAAGTATTTTGTTTAAGAAGAAAACAATTATAATTTGATTTTAGGACAGTATCGTTTGTAACAAAAGATTAATTAGCATGCAATTCCTCAAATTGTGATCAATTTGCGTAAAAGTATAGCCTGGAGATAGCATGGGGTATGAGAAGGAAGAATCCCCACCTCGTCCTCCCTTCCTGAGAAATAAACACATAAATGTAATGAAAAAAGTATAAATGAAGGATGGATCGTTCCACGAATCATAGGCCAATTTTTCAAAGCCAGCCTTAAAAACTTGGAAAAATCTTATGAAACTTAATCTTTAAGTTCGTCGTAAAAAAACCATTAAAACCATTTCTCTCGTTTATTTTAAATTATTATATTTTAAACGAGGTCTGTTCAATAAGTTTTGTGAAATTTTTTAAAGGTTCTTCTAGACGTCTCAGCCATGAAATTTATTTTAAAGCTCACATCCCGGTTGTCTCTTCTCCCAATGGACTTTCGTTAACATTTTTATTTCTATGTAATCCTCTCTTTCCCGGAAGTTGTTTAGCTCTTTTGTTACAGCACGGGAATGTTTTTAATACCAACCTGGGAAAGAGGACACTTGGGATGCTCGGTATACAAAAAGTTGGACCTAAAACTTTCCAAAGCAGACACCTTTGACATGATCCAACAAGCATTTGAGGAGAATAATATGGACAAGGCAACAGTCTACACGTGGGCTAAAAGGGAAAAAGCGTAATGAAGAGTGTTGGCAGAAAGAGGAAATGTGTGAGCAGGAAAAACCCACAAATAGTCGACACAATTCAAAGTTTCTCAGACCAAATTCGCAAGGCTTCTGATATGATGGCTTTTGATGAGTTTTACAACTCCTATGGGGCTAAATACAAAATTGTAAAGCAAGATTTGAAAAATGGCAAAGATTTGGACAACATTTGCTCCAAAAAGGTCATGGGAAAAGATATTAATTGGTTTGCTTGGTTTGCTGAAGCGTAGATTACCGTCAAGGGGCCCTTTCTATACAATACAGGCTTACCCTCCTTTGACTTTTTAAGGTTACTCAACCTCGAAAACACGCAAAAATGGATAAAGCTTGAGTCTATAGATAACATTTACGGGCTCCGGGAGAGAGCTAATTGCGTCCAACATATTATCTGAGACATTTGCTGGTCAGAAAATTGAACCGGTAAAAATATAATGAACTTTCAAAATAAATTAAAGGGTTGAGACGTCTAGAAGTACATTTAAATATTTTTCCCAAAACTTATTGAACATCCCTCTTAAATCTTTCCGATAATTCTTACTATCTAGTAACAAATGCTTCCAAAGGAATGGAGTCTTTGTCACGGCTCAGTTTCATTTGCCATAATATTTTTGCCATAAATATTTTTGCCATAATTACATCAATCATCATCAATCATCAATCATCATCAATCATCAATCGTCATCAATCATCATCAATCATCAATCATCAATCATCAATCATCATCAATCATAAATCATCATCAATCATCAATCATCATCAATCATCA